TTGATTCGGGCCACGTATGAAACAGTATTTTAAAGCGTCTACGAAGCAACAAATATTTTTAACTAATTTTTTTTTCATTTATGGTAGCCGTAACATCTGTTGTAAAGTTTAAAAAAATAACAATGATAAAACGATAGATTTGCACTAAATGCTCGTAAATATTTTCTTTTCTCGCAGCTCACTTAGTTGCTGTGCTTACTTTACTTGCACAGTGAAACCTGTTAAGTTGACCACCTCTATAGGTTAATCACCTATCTAAGATTTTGATGATCAAGTGCAAAACTGGTAAAAACAATTTATTATCATTTTTATAAGATGACTTCTCTTATAAAACCATCAAATTGTAGTTCCACTTGCGATTAGTTTACGCTAGTTTCACTGTAGTAGCTTTAATAATTTTCTAAACTCCTTTTATAACACACAGCATATACATTACCGTGTTTATCATGCAAAGTAATTATCTTTCCTAGTTATTTTGCAACTACTATAAATGTCTCGAAAGGTTTAAAATGTTGACATTTTCGCATTAAAAAATTGTCGTTATTCAATTGTCCTGATCCCTAAGTGCATTATGTTTCAGTTAACTTAGTCATTTTTATTCATAATTTCATTGTTATAGTTAATTATTTTTTGAAATTTCATAGTATATATTTTTGTTTTAAAAACAAAATCCATCTTTTGCATCGTCATCATTGGGTGGTCCTTGGCCTTCTATGAAATATTTCTTCATGTCGTTCTCCTTGATGCCAATTCTGATTATCATTTGCGTTTGGTAATACGAATTTTATTTTAATATGATAACTATCCAAAACTTAATTTTTATTTGTTTCATTTATTTATTGCATATTTGGCAAAATGAGGTGAAAAATAATAACTGTAACCATAGCAATACATATTATAGCTTCCTTTAAAAAAAAAAAATTCATCATTTACAACGGGCAAATCTAAGCTCTAGAGAGATATAAAAATTTTCCTATTTTTCGTGCAACTGTGAATAGATGGTGATTTACAAAAGNCGACCCAGTTTTGGGTTTACGACTTCTGATGTTCAACTCCGTAGCCTTGTAATTTTGAACCCAATCCAAAAGACAAGGAAACTCCTGAATCACTACGCCCAGAGGTTTGATTTGAATTGAGAACATGGAGGACTTCGTGACTCGACTGATTTTACTTGCATTACTCACCTTTTACTACACGGGGGTCTTAGGCCGGCGGGGATCGATCATACGACCTCTTGGCCATGGGCATCAACTTGTTTGCAAAAAAAAAGTTCAATGTGCCCTGCATCAGTACCGTCTTTACGCGTGAGCACATCCGGCCAGTGCCCAGGGGCCCTTAAGAAATCTTACTTTTTATAAATTCTATTAAAAAAAAAGCTAAGAATAAACAACATCGCCTTATCTATATTTTAAAATAAATATATTCTATTGTAATAAATGTGCATTTCGTTTTTTTTATTATTTTTTTATATTTTTAATAACTGTTTAATATGACAAAATAATTCAAACCTTCTGATTTTTTTTCTCCATTTGTTATACCTTTATGTTTATTTAATTTAATTATTTTAATTAACTTAAGTCAGTTGAGGTCCAGTTAACACCTAGTTATGAAATGAAAAAAAGTCTATCCAAAAAATAAACATTTCAAAAATAATGGAAACATTCAAAATATTTCTATTACACTTTGAATATCAATTAACATCGTCTCGATCTTTAAGTTAAAATAGTAATAATTCTATGGATTTTCTTAATACATTTCTCATACATCACCTTCCCCCTCGCTTAAACATCGTCACAATCTTTAAATTAAAATTGTAATAATTCTATGGATTTTTCTTAATACATTTCTCAGACATCGCCTTCTTCCCCCTCCCCACTCTTTTAAACGTCGTCTCGATCTTTAAAATAGTAATAATTCTATGGATTTTCTTGAGATTTATTTCTGAGACATCTCCTTTTCTCTAACTAAAATAAATTATAATATTATAATTGTATTATCTATCGAAAATGCTGTTATTTGGTCGATTATTAGAGTAGTATTTAGATAGATGCTGTAAGGCTTTTTTAACGGTTCTAAGATTTCCAAAGCAGTGTGCTATAAATAGCTGTTCAAAGTGGCGTTAAATTGAGCGCGTGCGGAGAATCCCCCTCCGCTTTATTTATTCTTAAGTTCATAAACAATCGAAGCAAAAAAACTTCAGCATCTATTCTGTGCTTTTATTTTTTAAACTTGTTAAAACCAGATTAAGCTCTTTTGTCTGTTAAAATGTTGTTTCGTCTATTGATGCCCCAATCTTTGTTTTAGTTTTTTTTTTTTTTTTAAGTTGGCGTATTTAACTCATGAAAGATGTTCTGTTTCATTCTAGGGTTAAATTTTTAGAATCTTAACAGCGCTACATTTCCAACAGTTGGTTAATTACCTATATTAAAGATTAACTTTATTATCGTTGTCTTTCAATAACAGTAGTATGTAGACGAACTTGACAAAACGAATTAACGTTGCTAAGTACTGTTTTGAATTCTTTGTTAGTGAGAATGTTATTAGTTTTATCTTAAGTAGGATTTAAATTTTAGAATTTTGTAGAACTAGATCTCTAATAGTAGGCTAATTAGTTATTTCATTAAGTATAGATTTATTATTCTCGAACGCTTTTTCCTAATATGTATGATTTAGGCAAATTTGACAAGACTAATTAACGATACAAATTTACAAACTATTAATGGAAAATAATTTGTCTTATCGTAAATATTTTTTACCCAAAATGGAATTTGTTTTTAAGTAGAACTTAAATTTCAGGACCTCATAGAGCTACTTTCCTTTACCGCAAGTTATTTAAGTTTCGAATTTAGAATCATTTTAGTTTTATTACTATTATCGAATGATGTATTTCGCTAATATTAAGATGTAAGGAAATTTTACGGGGTGAAATAATGATATAAATTTGCAACCTATGAAAAATTGTCTTATTTTAGTTAGGATTTAAGTTTTAGAATCTTATAGAGATAAACAAGAAACATTAAAACATTAGAAACCAAACTTCTAAGATGCTGTCAAACTTGACAAGACAAATGAGCGAACTATTAATGAAAAATAATTTGACATATTTTATATAAACCGAAGAATAAATTAAAAGTGAGTGAAAGGTTTGATCAAACAGTTTTTCATTTAATAAAATGGCATGTTTTTGAAATTGTTTCCAATTTTAAAAAAAAAAAAAAAAAAAAAAAAAAAAATGACATCTTGCATCAACAGTGTGTAAAATTTTTAAGGTTTATAGAAATGCATTTCTCCCTCTCAATACTTTTTTCTTTATTTAATTTTGTCATTAAATTTAAAAGGAAAGTGCTTTATTATATCGAAAAATTTTCATTGTGAAAACACTTGAGTTATTTTCAATGAAGGTAATAACAATATTTCAGTGCTTGAAGGTTTTACAATTGTCTGAACGATCTTTTAACCGTGTTTGTTTCGGTGTTTCGAACAACTTAACCCTTTGAACTCAAAATTGCTCTGAAAAGTTTTTCTATTTTATTTTAGTGAACAGTAGATTGCATATGGACTCTTTATTTTCTTTAAACCGGTTCTCGTTAGAACGAACCTCTCTATATCTCTAGTGTTGATGGACGATGTTCTGAAACTTCCGGCTATACCTGTTACAAATTTCTGTTATATGCTCCTGATTAAATATCAACTCTGCAGTATTACTTGTGAAAAAACACGCGCTCACAAAGCGAAGTTATTTGTCATGAAAACTTGAACATTTTTATTGGTTATTGTGTGTAAAATGTTTTTCATTTTTCTATGTTGATACCAGAAATTTAATGTATCTTTTATTTATCTTTTTTTTAGAAATAAGGCTCAGGAACAGAAAAAAGGACAAAATATTTTTTATTAGAAATATCAAGAAATTTTCAACCCTAGCAAAAAAAAATTTTAGCACATAAGTTCTTAAAATTATCATATATTGTTCTGCAATGTTTAGTGTGACACTATTTTAATAATGTTAGAAATTCTTGTTTCAATGCTGATTTAATGAATGCTTTTAAAATGTTTTCAGAAGTAGCAGAAACAATGAGAAATTTTTTTGAACATGAGAAAAATTGGTTTATAGAGGGTAAATACCAGTTAAAATCTCAGATGGTAAATACCGTGCGAAATGTATCACTGATTCTGAAAGATCTGAGAAAGCAAAAGCCTCATATTTTATTTATTAAAACTTCAAATGCTGATTGAAAAAAAGTGGAAAATTCTCTTTTTTTTCCCTTTCCTTTCAAAAATTGATTTATTTGCAAAGAGCAAATAAATCAAAGTTTGCAAAAAAAAACATTATTTTTTTTAAAAAATCTGATTTTTTTAGTTACATTAGTTATTTATTTTTTTTTTGTTTGTTTGTTTTACATGTACTAATGTAAATTTCTGATATTTTTTTTAAAACAATTTTATAACTTAAGTTTGACTATAAATTTGATAAAAACTAATTGCTTTGAATAATTAGAATCACAATTGTTTTTATTTAATCTCTAGTTCCTAATGAATTAGTAAAGACCGAGACCCAATTTCTCAGTTAGATATCAAATAAATTTAGCTCAAAACATTTAAAAAATAATAAATTATTCAAAATTACTTTTGGTGGAACAATTCTTTGCATTTTTGTTGTTGTTTATGTACATAGACTACATTTTTAAGAACTTTTAAAAGTATTTGTTTGTAAATAATCATTTTTTGTTTGACTCAAATAAATGATTTAAAAATCAGGTAATTTAATTCAACGATCTTTTAAAACAGAATTCAAGTGATGTAAATCAAGTGAAAGGAACTAATATTCAAGACAACTTTCTTAAAATTCCCTGGTAGTTTGTTGCCACCAAGTTGTGTGCTTACTGTTTCTTCTAATATTCTTGTGAATTTACACTTTTATTTTTTATTTTTACTTTTTAAAAGGTGTATACTCTTAAAAAAGTGTTAATATTGTTTAAATTGTAAAATTATATTTTTTCCAGAATGAAAAATGTCTGTTATGACAAAAGGGCCCACTCTCTATGATTTTCTCCTGGAAGCAGAACTGTCTCATTATTTCAGTCCTTTGAAGAATGACCTGAAAGTGACCTCAGTTGCCCAGCTGAAATATGTGGAAGAAGATGACCTCTCACAAATGGGTATGACCAAGCCTGAAATGAGAAGGCTGCGCAAGTATTTCCAAAAATACTGTCCGCAGACGTACCTTCGGAAAATTAAGAAGGTAGAATACCTTTCATTCCTTATTTGCTTTTTATTGTTTTGTAAAGTAAATCATTCCCCCTACATCTCGTTGTGGGCCAGGGGGTCATGGAAGGTAAGGCTCCACAATTTCATGACCAATGGCATGATTGTGGCTATGTGATCAGCACTGCTCACAGGCTGCCTTTACTTCCTAGACAAGCTAGAACCCATCGATCTAAAGCTGGGTGGGCTTCAAGCCGCCACTGGGAATCAAACCCAGCTCTTTTGTCATTGTATTGTGTTTTTCTTTTATTAAATTTGTCAAATTGATATGTTCTTATGCTATATGAAACCATCCCTAAATGTTATACTTGTTTTTAAGAATTTTTTTTTTTTTGCACTCTTTGTCACACTATCTTGAAGCATATTCTTGCAATTCAAAAACAAAGTACTACATTATGAACTATATTCTTGCAGTTCAGAAACAAATCACTTCATTTCAAACCATATTCTTGTAGTTCAGAAACAAAGCATTACATTATGAACCATATTTTTGAAGTTCAGAGACCTAATAGGAGGCATTCATTTATATTTCAGAAACAAATCACTATGCTTTGAACCATAGGTATTCTTAGAAACTTAAGAAAATATTTTTGCAGTTCAGAAACAAAGCACCACATTACTGACCATATTCTGACAATTCATAAACAATCCAGTACGCATGGTTCCCACTTAATTTCAGAAAAAATTCCCTGGCTTATCCAGGTATATCAAGTAAATTTCAATGAAAACTCATACCATATTATATCTATACCATACAATTTTTCACCAAATAACTTAGATTTTCTTTTTTGTTTGTAATGTCAAACATTTAGATTTTGTGAGTAAAAACATAATAGAATGAGAGTGGAGACACGGAAAAGTTTCACTCAAAAGTGGAATTTTATAAAATAATTGTAACAGATCGTAGAATTATTTAACTCGAATCTCACTAACTTCTTACTGTCATTGACAATTAAATATTTATTTTTTAACTATGTGTTTTAATAGTAGCATCGTTTATTATAAAATATCTTACATGAAATGTTTCTTTCAGATGATCCTTCCTAAAGTGAAGGATGATTCAGATAGGGCTTCCATTTATTTCAATGACAACACTCTGGAAAAGAACAATATAAAAGTTCCCAGCAAACACATCATACCCAAAGACAACATAGTCATCAACAAAGAGCTAGGAGTGGGAGAATTTGGTGTGGTTCAGCAAGGTGTTTGGACCAATGAGGATGGAGAAAGGGTAAATATATTATTTCATATTTGCATGGAAATTCTTTCACTTTCAATCAGCACTCAAAACATATGGTGATCTTAATACAGCTCTCCCGGCTTCTCACAAAGCAGCAAAGAGCCAAATAGTGGTATCCACTCATCAAATTCTATCACAGATATAATTCTGGTGGGGGATTACTGTAGTGTATCTACCACTACAAGAATACAATTCCAATTCACTAGTATCTAAAACATGTTAACTAGATTCTATGTTGGGGTACCTTTCGTAGATGGGGGATGACATGGTCGATAACTACCATCCCCACAATTTTGTGAACTAAATTGAGCCTGACTTTTTAGCAACATGAAGTGTCCATATTATTCAATGTTGAAAAGGTGCAAAAGGACACTAATATACACTATCTAGCCAAAAGTTTCCAGACACTCTGTGATATGGGCTTTGAGCATTCTAAGGCACATATTAATATGATGTTGGTCCCCCTTTTATATCGATGACAGCCTGCACACACGCCTGGGAAGACTTTCTACTAGTGTTTGATAGGTGGCCATAGGAATTGACTTCTAAGCTTCCATCACAGCTGAAGTGAGTGCTTGCAGTGGCTACGTGATGTGCACTCTTAATTCCATCCCAAAGGTTGTTCTACGGGGCTCTGAGAAGGCCAGTTCAGTTTTTGAACACCCATTTCGTCAAACTGTGCAAGCCTCAATGTGTGAATGGAAGAGAAATGGGCCAAAATATTGTCATTAGAGTTGGGAGTGCAGCATTGTCCACATACGTCTCAGAGTTCCTACCATAGGAATTGACAGACACAGACCAAACCACTAGAAACACCCCCACACCACCATAACAACCAGGTGTCCGGATACTTTTAGCCATATAGTGTATTTGTAAGGCTAAGACCAGAAGTCTACAAATCTCAGGTGCTCAGTTGTCATAGTACTTATAGTTGGTGCCTTTTTTTTAAAAAAATTTAATATTTTTATCCTGATAATTTGAATATTTTTGGGCAAATGGCTTCTGTTGTTGTTGTTGCTTATCCTCACTGCCTGACGGAGTCATACAAGATCCACGAGTTCGTTGACTTAAAGGAAGTCGAAGGATTAAAGAGATCCTCCTTAGAGAGTCCCATGCAATCCAAGAGGTGCTCAGGAGAAGCCTGATGAATTTGGCACTTGGTGCAGGTGACAAAGGTTTTCCTGCCCTCGTTGAAAATGAGGCACTTCATGTGACCGCTGGCAAGCCTTGTTAGAACTGTCCGGGTACGCCTGTCACACGGGAGGTCAAGAGACAAACCCGGTTTTGATCCCTTGTACCAATGTGTTTTCCACTGTTGGTTGTGTTTTCCACTCCTCGGAGATTTTTGATTTTTCCAGAGAGTATAATTACAAAAAAGTAAGTGTGAAAGAGGGAGTTGTTGTAATCCTGCAACCCTCCTTAGCAAGAATATCGGCCATTTTATTCCCGTGGAGATTCACACAGGAAGGTACCCATTGCAAATGAGCATCATGATTAAGTGAAATGAGCTTTAATTTAAGCAGGATAGAGGTGCTGATCCTGTTGTCCACAAGAGGCCAATTACTAAGATGGTGGAGAGAACTACGGCTGTCAGACAAGATCCATAGATCACCATAATCCTCTTCGCATAGAATAACTTCTAGTCCCTGGCCTATTGCAATTCACTTCTGAAGACAGAGCAGTGATTAGGATTACAATGAGCAAGAGTCAAATTAGCTTGAGGGGTTTTGATATAAATGCCACTGCCAGCAAGATTGTCAATTTTACTACCATCAGTAAATATTTTAATGGCATTGTTAGGAATGTGGCTCAGGTTTTCCAAGGTCAGTTGGAAAACCTGAAGTTGATCCTGAAATGTAGCTCTGACTTCTGGAAATTTCGAATTTTTGAAAACCTTAAACCGAAGGGATCATTTTGAGTTTTACAAATTAGCAATTTTCTGTTAGAAATTATAGTTTCTTTCCAAGTATATTTATGTAGCAATCTTTCATAGCACCAGGTTGCACTGTTTTTAAAATTCAAAGTAAACTTAGCAGTGTAGCATTTAGCTCTATGTAGCTCACCAATGGAAGCACATCTTGAATAGCATCATAAAGTACTCTTATTGTTGTTTGTTAAATTTCTATTGTCTTCATTTTGTCAATCTTCTAATGTTTTAAAATATGTTTCATAAAATCATGGAATGAGAAGGAATGCATTTGAAACTTGGTCATAAGCGTATTTACTTATAGAACTAAGTTGATAAATGCTAGAGAAATGTTCTGTTATCACACCCAATCACAGCATTGTGTCTCTGATTGGTCTAACTCAGACATATGTATGATTTAAAATTAAATATATGCATTAAATATTTTTTTAAATAATGAAGTTTTTTTCTAGTATTGTTCTATAAAAATGTAAGGTGTATACTTAATAAATTTTTATAGTATTTTATTGTTTCATACTGAATCTTATGAAATTTTTTCTTAAGCAATTATGTCTGTAGAGATAAAAAATATAGTGCTTATAAAGAGTAAGGACAGTTAGACAGCTTTCCTCGTGTTTTCATGGTCTCTTAGCGTTTGAAAATATTCTTACTTCAATTAGAAACAGTTTATTTCGATGAAAATATTACCTCATGTTATCAATCTATAATTAAAAAACAAACTGTTTGTAAGTACATTCCTTTGCAATTCCTGAAAATCACTGTTTTTGAACTGATTCACTCGTGCAGTATTGTCGCTTGTAGAAAATATCAAATCAATGTTATAAAGGCTCGCAAAAACAATTTAATTAAAAGGAACAATGGATTTATTATCACTTATTTAACAAAATTTACGTAATCCATATATTTTTTCTGTTCAAATGATTTATAACACATAGAAATTACAAACTTCTCCAAATTATGTACATTTTCAAACAACTGAACTGAAAATCACTCTTTTGAAAAGCCACATGTATTTTTACTTCTTCAAATATGAATGAATTTGAGGTTTAGTCTTTTCAGGGTGCTCCATTCCTAGCGATTTGTCTTTTTTGACAAGTCCCTTTCATATCTGAAACTATTTATTTTGAAGACGCAAAAATATTTGAATTCTAAGATCATTGTGTACTTTTGAAGAATAGAAAAGTGTTTTGATCATGCGAGAAAATGAGAATTGTTGCTTATTTTCACCTTCGTTAAATAGGATTATGAATTTCGTAATATCGATATTTTTAATTCATTGTTCCTACGAAGATTCGTTTGAGGATTCGGAAAATATTCATTACATTGAAATCTTTGCTAAAACAGGATTTGACTGTAATGCATTCAGACATTTTCACTAACTTATAGCTCAAATCTAATCTAACAATTATGTTGAGAGTTATTTCATGTTTTTAATAAAAATCACTTTCAGCATTTTATTTAGTTAACAAAAGTAAAGTTGTTTACAGTTTTCCACTTAATAGATTTGAAATACCAGGGGTCTGTCTAGATTTTTTAAGAGGTATCAATTTTGTGAAAATGTATACATAATTTGTGAAAATTACAAATTATGTTAAAAAATTCAACATGAAAATATGGTAAAGTCAGAAAAAATTTTTCACTACAAATAAAAATCATTTATGACTGGTAAATTTCTATATATTTTTCCCCATATGTTCAAAAATAATTCCGCTACTGTAAAATTTTGGGCTTAAAATTGTATCCAAATTNGTCAGAAAAAAAATTTCACTACAAATAAAAATCATTTATGACTGGTAAATTTCTATATATTTTCCCCCATATGTTCAAAAATAACTCCGCTACTGTAAAATTTTGGGCTTAAAATTGTATCCAATTAAAAAAATGTAAAATTCCATAAAAGTCATTGTCCATAGTTAAATTTCAATTTGAATTAAATAAAAACATGCATTCAACAGTACTAGCACTAAAAGTTATTTTCATTATGAGAACTTTTTCGACTAAGTCATGCAGAAAAAAGTTTCACAGAGAAAAAAAAAATGTATGAAAAATAAAGGTCTTTTAAAATAAATGTACAATAATGTTTAAGAAAATGTTCGAATGTTTAGAATAATGATCGAATTTTGACTTTCTGTAAAGTTTACAAAGGGAGACCCTTGTTGTTTCATTTTAAAATACTCAGCTGGAAAAAAAAACTCACTTTGCTATGGCGTGAGTGACCGGTTAGGTTTACTATATTGCAGTATATGGCCAAACATGTGCTACCTTTTCGTAAAAGACATCTGGCAAAAAAGCTCCTCTTTTTCATAGATTGCAATAAGTGTTAGACAAATAGAGGCAAAAAGGTATGAGGTTCGACTTTCGATCGTCAATCCCATGCATTCAACTTGCGTCGGTGACGTCATGGCCTGCGGGGATCGGCCAGTTTATTTTAATTTGCTGTTGGTCGTTCTTGCATGGATCATGACGTCACCCATTATCTGTATTTAAGCTTCTGTTGAAGCATATCATTTGGGTATTCTTTCTTTTCTTTTCGTCACTCTGTTTGTGACATTCTTTATTACTAATGTTTTTAAATAAACTCATTTCTTCAAAAACTTCGTTTCTCTTTTTTTTTTAGTTGTTGATATACAGATATGATATTCTGAGAGAATCTCGGATGTCAATAAGAACGATTTTTGCATGAGAACTCTCTTTTGTTAAAAGTATTTTGTGAAACTATCGTTTTTCCTAAAGTTGAATTTGTGAAGCAACCACTAAACGGTAGTAAATTTGCCCTGGACAGACCCCTGAATACTAAATGAAAACCTGCGATATTTCTCGATATCGAACTTTTATACTTGAAGCACAATGATTTTATTATGCTATGCACCAAATGAAGTTTTTCCGTAGCTCTAATATTACTACTTTATCAGATCCAGGTGGCGATCAAGTGTTTGAGTGAGGAGCGCATGCAGAAGAATCATATGGAATTCTTGAAAGAAGCTGCCATCATGCACACTATTGATCACGAGAGCATCGTTCGCCTGTACGGAGTTGTACTTGAAACCAACACTCTTATGCTGGTACAACTCTTATTTTATTATTTGAATTACTATACTTTATGATTATAATTTTGAATGTTTTTTACTTCCAGGATTCATTTAATATTTTGCTAGGCTCATTTCATCTTGCTTGATTCTTTTAAGTGTTACAATAGATTATATATATTAGTTCTGTATGGTTATAAATCTTTATTTTTTAATTAATAAATTGTACTTCAGCTATGTAAAAAAATGTCAAATTTGTAATTTACTTACGTGATCTTGTGCATTACTTGAAATTAATGGTGGTTTGTTAGTGTTGGTTAGAGACCACTTTACTTAGAATAGACTTGGACCACTATTAAATAATTATCAGTGGTCCCCTGGACCAGCAATCAATTTAAAGGAGTGGTATATTGTTTTTATTTTTATGTTTTGGTCTGTTTTTATCACAAAATAGAATATTTTATCATAATTGTGTCACTACACATTCTTTGCATTGAATTTTTCATTTCAATTAATTAAGATTTTTAAAAAAAAATCAGATGGCAACATGTGAACAGATCCATAAATTTTTTTGTATCCTTTAATTAGGAACCTCTTAAACAAATGACTAAATTTTCTTAATTTCTACCTTTGATGTGTAATCAGGCAATCTTTGTAGGATCGGATTTTTGATGTCTAAAACAGGTTTTAACTCTTAAAAAAATATAGAACTTCAACTAATTTCTGTAGTACATTTCTATAAAAAACAATAGTGTTGCTTTGTTTCCTGAAAAACTCTGGAAATTGTCTAAAAAATTAGGGAATTTTAAATTTTCCAGCCGTAATCTGGAAAAGTCGGAGAGTTTGGTTTGGCGAATGGCAAGCTTGCAATGTTTGTGTCTACATTTCTTAAGGAACGTTTCCTGTGCAAGGGCCTCTTTTTTTCTCATTTGGAATTAATTAAAATAAAATGTATAAAATAATGTATTAATGTCAAATATTTTATTTTGTGGTTACCTAAAGATTTTATTCATGGTGCTGCAAATGCCTATTTTGACATTAAATTTGAATTTTTATTGAAATATATCTTAAAAAGTCAGGGAGTTTTTTTTTTCCATTTGAGTAGCAACCCTGAAACAAGGTACAGAAAAGCATTATACAACTAAGAAAAATGCATAGCAAACAATTAATACATGTTTGGCATACCATGGAATGCTTTTATCAAATTAACAATTTATTCAAAGGTAGTGACTAGAATGTTAATTTTTTAAAAAAAATATATACAGGGTACCTGCGCACCTGGAAAGTCATGAATTTCGGTATTGAACAAAATTTGTCATGAAATATCATGATTTTAACTATTTTTAAAAGAAAAATCATGGATTTAGGTCGCTAAAAAATCTAATTTTTAAAATGGAATTTACCTCCCCCCCCCATTTCATGGTGTTCCAAATATCTGAATTAGTAACAAAAACTCACTCACAGTCATATTTTATTAAAATATAAAATTTTTTATTCTGTTCTTTAAAAATTATGGTGTTTTTTCATAAAATGAAAGAAAAAACATCATTTCTTGAGCGAATTATCTTTTAAGCTTCTGTGATTTCAGAATTTTTGTTCTTATTTTTATTTTATCAATTTAAAATTTTAGCTGAAGCAAGGCAAGTCATTGGTGAATTTTTTTTTAATTCCGAAATGAGAACAGAAAAATTTGGAGTATTTCTTTCCCTTCCAATGAACAAGAGAAGTATCTTTAGAATATAATTCTGCAGAAAAATAAGGAGAGAAAAAAATTTGCTTTTGTATTTTTTTTCCAGCTTTTTTATGGCTTCAACTCTTTCTTTTCTCTGTTTTATAAATTTAAAGTCTATAAATATGAAGATGCAGAGTATATCAGTCTTATACCTATCATTTGATTAATGTTATTACAATGCTTTTTTAAATTTAATGTTGTGCTTTTGTCTGAGAAAATAGTAATTTCGCTAAGTCATAAAAAATTCTTGGAAAGTCTAAAATGTAGCAAATACCCTAAATATAATTGACAGTCAATAAATTACTTGTTGTACTATCAATGTTTTCATTTGGTAAGATTTTCCTCACTTATTTCTGCAGGTTACAGAACTTGCTCCTCTTAGATCCCTACTGGAGTGCCTTAAGGAGCCAGTTCTCCGTCCGAGTTTTCCCGTCATCTCCCTCTGTGACTTTGCCCTACAAATAGCTGAAGGTATGCAGTACCTAGAGAATAAGAAACTAATCCACAGGGACCTGGCTGCCAGGAATATTCTCGTCTTTGCAAAAAATAAAGTGAGTTTGATTGGTATACATACAATTTTATTTGCTTAAAACGTTTTTTTATCTTCATTGGGCAAACCAGGGATCTCTCCAAGGTAAATTGTTTAGTGGTACCTTCACAAATTCTGTAACGTATATAAAAGATTATCTGTAACGTATGATAAAGCCCATCATGTTACATGTTTGATGAAATACTTGGGTTTCCGCATGTGCGTTTACTTAGCTGTGTTCTGTGAGATTTTTGCATTCTGGCATACAACTTTGCTGCATTTTGCAAGATATTTTCAATTTCAAGCTTCATTTTCCACCCTCTGAAATCGAACCATCGATCGATCTTTATCGATCTTTTTATGAAGCTAATATAATCATGAAAAGTGATCTTTGTCAGAAACGAATTATTTTATCATGACCATGTAAGGTCTTTGAAAATTATTTTGCATTTTGTTAATGTATATAGTGCTTAAAAATATCTTTTAAGTGCTTAAAAAGTACTTAAAAGGTGCTTATTTTTTATTGAAGGATTTGGCTATGCATCCTGGTTAAATTGTTTTTCCTTTTACAATTTTTGGATAAAAAGAACTAATGAAGTGTTTTTAATATATTTAGGAAAAATTCCAAGTTATGCAAAAATGCGAAATGCAAAAATACCTACAAAATGCAAAAATATTGGTCATAATATTAGAATTAAAAAAAAATTGCATATTCAAAATAAATATTAAATAAAAAAGTTTTATTATTTTATTTGAACCGAAAAGTTATTTATTTATTAATTATTATTTTTTTGAAGTTGATGCTTCTGTTATTTTAAATTAATAACATGTATATTTGTTATTTTTAAAAATATCTTGCAGAAAAATATTAGTATTAGAGTGACAAATCGCAGAAAGCCCAAACAAATTCTGCCACATGGCTTAAATCCTGCTGGTGTATTGTGAAAATTAACTTTAATTTTTTTAGATTAAGAAGTTCTGGTACTTATTTGTAAATTGCTAATTTTTTGATCACACTATTATCCATCAAGCACTGACTATAGTTTTTTTTTTTGTATAAATCTTTTTCAAAGCAAAATGTATGTATTGGTTTCTGTTGTAAAATAAGCTTGTTATTTTCTAGGTGAAAATTAGTGACTTTGGCTTATCTAGGGCTTTAGGAGTTGGCAAAGATTATTATCAAACTAACTTCAATGTTAATTTGAAATTACCGATTGCATGGTAAGAAAACATGTACTTATCTTTTATTAATTTGTTTTTAAAGAATAGATTGTACTGACAAAAAAAAAATCTTTCATTTTAAGCAGAATATTAGAAATTTTTAATCAGTCTATGATTTTTTTTTGTTTTTTTTTTTTAGCTTAGTTTACTCATGTAGTAATCTATTTGTATGATTTGTGTATTTGATTTTGTATCGAAAAAATAGTACTACTTATTGTAATTTAATAAGTAAAGTGCAGTAGATTCCTAATTATCTGACATAGGTCTCAGATAGCTCAGTTATCTGACGTTTGTCATAATTGCTTGTAATAGCTTATACATTTTTACAATTACAACATTTTTACTTACTTATTATACATTAGCAACATTATTTTTGACTTTCAATTTTATAACCGTTATTGATTATCCAACCCAATTTTAAGTCTACAACTACCAATGTTCAACTCCATAGCCTTGTAATTTTGAACACTATCCAGAAGACAAGGGAATGTCTGGATCAAGTATAGGGGAAAAACTGCCTTCGTGGAGATTTGCCTTTTTGATGGAAGTAACCCGCATTTTCATTACATAGATAGGAGAACCACAAAAAATTCCCTCAGTTAGCCTGGCAGCAAGGGAATTCTAACCCAGGATTTCTTACGTAAGCACTGTGGTTGATGCCAGCCAGGTACAAAATTCAAATCGACCAGGGATTCGAACCTGGGTCACCTCATTGGGAGGCAAGCACTTTATCCCCTGAGCCACCATGGCTGTGTCTTGATAGTGGGAATGGAATGGGGATTCCAGGATTGAAAGTAAAACTGGAAATGTTCATTTCCCTACCATGAGCACTGGCTTGGAATAAAACCTTCCTTGATTACTGCTTCTAAGAGCGTAGCTAAATCGTAGCCAATCACCTAATTTTTTAAGTGTTGCAACATTGGCATAGCTGAAGCAAAACACAGAATGAGTTTATATGAGTGCAAAATGATCTCACATTATTGAAATAGTATTTTGAGCTATTTATTGTTTTTTACACTGTTTCTTACTTTCATTAGACTAAATGTTATTGGACAAATAATTGAAACTAGTTTGCATTAAAAATTGTAAGATAATTTTTCATGTTTAATTCATCTAACGTAATAATTTTTTTTTTATGAATCATTTTTAAGGGTATTTTTTTAAAAATTAAGATTTTCAAAATATTGCGTATGTTTTAATGCTTAAGTAACTACCAAATTTTTAGCCTGAGTTCGGCATGTAATTTCATTGTAAAGCAACAAGAATATTTAATTACGCTTGCTTTTAAATCATTCCTAATTAACAGAAATAAATCAAATGTTTTTGGGTGAAAAAATCTTTACTGATTGGTCTTTTTAAGATTAATTAAATTTCAGAAATTTGCATAAAATTGCATTAATAATGACGATATATAATATAAATTCGACGATTGGATAAATTAGACGTTAAATGAGTTAATTTATTAAGTGTTTAATGTTCACATGTTTAGACAAATGTATAATTTGTCTATGGCAAGAACTCCCTCGCCACCAAGTTTGAGGCCGTCTGTGGCTATGGAAACAAGAATGGCGCCTTTCAGAGAGGGTGGTTTTTTTCACTCTATTGCTAGCACAATAGACCGAAGAAAAAGATTCCCTTTTTCTCACCGACCCGAGTCAAAACCTGTCCTAAACTATGACCACAGGACCCCTATTGGAAATAGCTATACCTCGTTACCATAGTCACCGTCACGGGTCTAGACGGATGATTAGGGGGGTTCTTACTTGAGACTAACTGTACCTTCTTAATTATTCCTTCCTAATTTCTTAACCTGAAATTTATTTTTATCTCTCTCTCAATACTTGATTGCAATTGTGCATTTTATTACTGTTATTAATGAATGTTGCACTGTTAGGTGTGCCCCTGAATGCATCAACTATCTCCGTTTCACATCAGCCAGTGATGTTTGGGCTTATGGCGTGACACTATGGGAAATGTTCAGCTATGGATTTCAACCTTGGGCTGCTTTGACCGGACAACAAGTAATTTATATTTTTGTATGAGTTGAATTTGACAAAATATTTACATTTTTTGAACAAGCTTCAGATTCTCCCAACTTTTGGTGGAATTTCAGAACTTTCTAAACTTAGGAAAAATATGTATATTGTAAAATAAATAAGAATGTATAGTAAAACGGGTAAGAATATTTAAATAAAATAACACATTAATTAAAAAAAGAAACTTTAACTAAATATATTAATAATTTAAATGTTTGATTGTTCTTTCGCATCTGTAATTTCACCCATTTTATTTATATTTTAATTATTTTATTATTGATTTTTTATTATTCATTCAAATTTTTTTTAATTAAATAAAATGTTAAGCAATGTTGTGACGCTTTTCTGTAATTTAACAATGGTGCTATTGAATATAGTATCGTATTGTTAATTTTTCTTAAAATTCTTTCAGAGCATGTTTGTTTGATAATTTGTTAGATAGTCAGTATTTTTAAACCACTAAATCTTTAGACAATTTCATTTTCAGAAAATTAAAATATTCTTTTAAATAAAATCAAACTTTTGTTTGTTTTTACTTTAAGACATCAGTCTAAAGTCAATCCATCTTTATTATTTTAATTATAGAAAATTAAGCAATGTTATTTATTTTATAGAAGCATTGTTTTAGAATTAGCATTTTCTTTTGTTAAAGATTTATTCCTTTTATTTATTTTTGATTGATTTAAAGATTTAGAATATGTTAAATGACGATACATCGCTATATCGTGATGTGTAACAGACGATATACATATCACAATGTAAAATTTCTTACATCGATTACAAATTATTAAAGGCTATTCAGTTATTTCCATTTGTAATATGAATTAATTTTTTTAGTTTACTTAATTCTTTACATATCTTTATAAATTCGATATGATCAATTCTATTAATCTTGTTAATTTTTTTTTAATACACTTTTATAAATAACTTCTATAAATAAATCTAAAAAATACACCCTGTAACCTTTTTAAAAAATAGTTAAATTAATTGTAGTTTGGAATTAAAATTTTGTTACATAAGTAAATAAAATAATTATTAATTTAAAAAATATAATGAGCCACTTAATGTCAAATCTATTTAAAAGTGGGTATAAGCTGTTTTTATGGCGGCTAACATAATCAACTAAAAATAAGAGTGCTTAGTCAGTGACTAGCACTCGAGTGAATAGTCAGAAACTAGTTATTTTATCATGATCATGTAAAGTTTTTGAAAATTATTTTGCATTTTGTTAATATATGTCTGAAGAACGTTGGACAATGGAGAGAAAAAATTTTTTATTAGTGTTTATAATTAGGATGTTTTTTTAAGTGCTTAAAAATATTTTTTGAGTGCTTATTTTTTGTTGAAAAATTTGTTGCACACCATGCATTAAAAGTCAGAAAATTTTAATTACGGGAGAGTCTCAATAATTTGAGGTAGACGGGACCAAGAAATATTCGAAAATTTGAAATTTAATAAAAATAAATGCAAGCAAAGCAATTTTTAAAATTTCATTATTTAATTTAAAAATGTATTATATTTAATGAAAATGTATAGATAAACATAGAGGATCTGGGTACATTTAATATGTTAAACCAAGTTACAATATTCATCATAATACTGTATCAGATTAATTGTACTTTAAAATAATTTAATTGTTTAAACACACTGTTCACATGTTTTAGTGTTTATCAATATCGTTATTCAACATTCAGGTTTTTTAACATTCAGTGGTAGTAATCGTTCCATGTGTTGTGTGTGCATTGACCATTATTTGGGAGCAAGACTAACTTTTTATCACTAGCTCGGAAGTATGAGCAGGTTATCTGCGCACCTAGAAAGTCATGAGAAATCATGCAAAGCCATGAATTTCGGTATTGAACAAAATTTGTAATGATTTTAACTATTTTTTTTTAAAGAAAATCATGGATTTAAGTCGCTGAAAAATTTAATTTTTAAAATGGAATCCCCCCTCCCCCAATTTCGTGTGCTTCGAATATCTGAATTTGTAACAAAATTCCCACCCACAGTCATATTTTATTGAAATATAAAATGTTTTTATCATGTTCTTTAAAAATGATGGCGTTCTTTCGAAAAATGAAAGTAAAAACATAATTTCTCGAGCAAATCATCTTTTAAGCTTCTGTGATTTCAGAATTTTGTTATTATTATTTTTTTTTTTTTATTAATTAAAAATCCTAGCTGAAGTAAGCCAGTCATTGGCAATTTTTTTTTAAAATTCTGAAATGAGAGCAGAAAAATCAGGAGTATTTATTTCCTTTTCGATGAACAAGAAAAGTACCTTCAGAATATAGTTCTGCAGAAAAAAGAAGAAAAAATTATTTGCTTTTGTATTTTCAGGGTGCGTAGCGTTTGTAAAAAGTACTTAAAGGTGCTTTTTTGGGGATTTCGTTTTTAAAAGCTTTTAAAGGTGCTCTTTTCAGCTGGCGGTTTTAAAAAGTGCTTTTTTTTTCGAATAATTTTTTTCTTCCCTTCAGTGATATTTGGTGGATCCCATGCATTTCACGAAAAATGAGGAGTTTGCTACGAAATCACTCGCGCGGACTTCATGTCGTACCCACGTTATGACTTGCGCATGCGCGCACATTTGAAACCGAAACCCAAGTGCTCCAATTCGGATAGAGAATATCAGATCCTTATGAAATGTTTTTCTTTTTAATTTATTTTAATTTTGTTCTTGTTTATTTTATTTTACTTCTAACACTTTTTTTGACGTAGGGGGTAA